AATGTCCCTCATTTCCTTGTCTACAGACAGTACTAAGCCAATCTGTGTTCCACAAATAAGTACGATGTGAACTAAACACGAGTGACTTGCCTAATAGCTTAGAATGTAGTGAAATGAACAAAAAAGTATGACTAGACCATTTCCACTTAAGAGTGGTAATCTCTAATAAGGAAAAAGGGGGGAAAAAAACAACACAAAATAGAGTCCTTAGGTTATGTTAAAGTTTTTTTTTCTTTATAATATATGGCACTTTAAAAAAAAAATGCGATAAAAAAAAAAAAAAAAAAAAAAAAAAAACACCTTGCAAAAGCCAGTAAGGAGATGACACAATGTATTTATTGTGTCAAGTAAGATTGAGACTGCTGAAGCAGCTGGAGGTACCCAGTCATTTCAGTTCAGGCTTGGTCATATGGTAAGAGCCTGACTTTAAAAACAAATAAAGTGTTTAAGGAAGGCCAGACATGATAGCCCAAGCAGTCAATCCTAAGATATAGGAAGCAGAGGCTAGCTGACCTCCTTGTGTTCCATGCAAGCCTGGTCTACATAGAGAATTCTGAGCTGGCCCTGGTCAAATGTGAAGAGAGTGGGAGAGAGACAGAGAGGGGGGAGAAACAGAGGGGGAGAGAGAGACAGAATCAGAGGAGAGAGAGAGAGACAGAGAGAAAGAGAGAGAGAGGGAGGGAGAGAGAGACAGAGAGAAAGAGAGAGAGGGAGAGAGAGGGAGGGAGAGAGAGACAGAGAGAAAGAGAGAGAGGGAGAGAGAAAAGAGAGAGAGAGATTGCTTTTCAAGAGGGCACTTTTCAAGAGACTACTTCCTGGAGTCCATTCTCTCCTTCTATCAAGTGATTTCCAGGGATTATACTTGGGTTGTCAGGCTAGGTTAAAATCACCTTTATCCCCCCAAGGTATCTCACCTGTATGCCTGAGTGGCTCATACCCATGGTAAGCCGTCTGCCATGGATTTCACCCTGAAATATTCTGCTTAGGTGTTCCTGAATTGTGTTGAATGTATGCACTTTCAGACTTCAGATACCTTCTTCTCTTTATTATATGGTTCTTTGCTTTACACTTCCAGAGAAAATGTTAACCAAGTATCTGTTCACTTTCACCTAGCAAGAAGACTGACATCTTCTCCTGAAGACCTGCTTCTCCAACTCTGGGAACAGTAGCCATTACAAAATGTCCTTTGCATGGCATTTATATAGAGAGCTTGTTATCAAACAGGTCAATGCTCTTCCTGTTAAAGGTTAAAAAAGTTGTAGCCCTCACAGCTCCAGGGCAGATGGTACGGTGATTTCTGGTTCCTTGGTCACCACTCTGATCACTGAGAAAGCACAGGCATTAATGAAGTGAGATTGGATACCCCATATGACTAACAACAGAAACAGAACCATCACTAAATGGCATTACCTGTTACATCTAAAGGGGTCCCACTTTACTCATCACAAGACACATTAATTATGTTGACAGTTTTACCATTACTGGTGTGTGCCACAGGCTAAGCAGGCTCTGTTTCACCGGACAACCCCACCCCCAAACAACTGTATAGTTTGATGATATAAGATGCCCTCCTCCCCATGAAAGGCTTGTTATACAACAGACAATCATCACACCCAGCTTTACAATACCCATCAAGTGAAATATGGTGTCCAGAAGCTTAGACTTTATCAACATTAGACATAACTAATGGGACTGTAAGGAACAACACATAAGCTGTTCATATCTAGACTTTGTACTTAAGTCACAGCATTGCTTTGCACTTCACTGACAGAATTACCAGTGCATTCCACAGGACTGAAGGGCACACACAGGGACATTACAGGAAGAAGGCAAAGGGTGTAGTTACTAGACACAGGTTTCACTTTAACAACTGCATGGGCTCACATTGTCCCCAGTATTATGTAGACAGCAATTTTTGTGCAGCATCTCCCTTGTGAGGAGCAGCCATGCCATTCATTTCAGAATCTCCTCCCCGAAACTCATTACCAGTTTGGTGTTGACTTGTTTGCTGATATTGTTTGATGTTTCATGTTTTAATGAAAATCACACACTTTCCCAGGCCACTTAGCCTTTCAGAAAAAGGAGTCACATTTTAAAACCACATTTTACATGGAGACCCTGAAAGAGGGACTTGGAACCCAAGCCGAATTGGACAAACAAGCTGTTCAATATAGGGAGAAGTCCTCCTGTTGCTACTTAACATGAATTGGACACCAGACTTGACAGAAAACACATCAAAGCATCATGAAAGACCCATGGAATTCAAAGTGGTGGAGCAAAACAGCAAAAGAGTACAAATGCCCATTGACCTCTTACTGAAAATACAGACAAAAGCCAAGACTGCTTTATGTGAATGCCATTGCTTTTTATAAACAAGGAATGAGGAGCGCCTAGGTCATCATATCGGAGATTGTCCTCTCTGCTGTAGGCTGTAGAAATGGGCCTCCTTCAAGATCTGGTTAATATGGGAGTAAGGACCTTGATCTTGGCACACTGCATAGTCCTCCTGGGAGAACTCGGGCATATTGGAGTTAAGTTCAGCCATGTTCGGGTTTAAGCTGTTCTCTGGCATACTTTCTCCACTGGTGTTATTGATGCCGATGTGGCTCCTTGCATTACCACTGCTTGACGACTGGAAGGAGAAAGACAGAAGGAGGATGGCTATTATGATACTGTCAGCATTTCCTGTTCAGCTTGAAGAATACTGGCATCACAGTCTACAAAAGGATTCACTGTCCATAAAGTGCAATCACTTGGGGAGCCCATTCCCTCCTCACAGCCACACTCAAGCTGAGTTAATAGCACCCATTTGGCTAACCAGGAAGGACATGTGTGATGGGCCCAAAAGCCAGTCTTCAGCGATATCAGGGAGAGAGTACAAACATAGGCTTTCTCGCTGCACTTTCTTCCACATATTCTCTGCCCCCCCCCCCCCCCCCCCCGGCACCGTGCTTTCCAATTATCTGCACCAGGGAAGTAAGCTCCCAACCTCCAGGAGAAAGCAGCAATCAATGCTGCAGAATGTGATTGGGATTAGGACCAAAATAAGAAAGATGGAATGTGGGTTCATGTCTCACATGGCAAAGAAATGATGGGGAAAGCTACATTTACACATATGTCCACACGTGCATACCTACAGGTAACAGGGTCTTTCCATACCAATCCCCTACAGTGAACATATGTGCTAGTACTATAACAATTCAAGGCTCCACTCATTATCTTGAAATGCCTTCAATATGTTTTAATGACAGATGTATGCCAACACTCAGCATTTCTGATGACTAACACCCCTGGTCTTCTATTTGTGGGATTACTATAGTTTGCATATGGTGAGTTTGCTATTGATATTGTCTGTCCTGGAAATAACTTCACTCTTTCATATTGGTGATTTCATGTGGTGACATTATATTATACCCGCAAAGAGCTATGTCTGGGATTCAGTAGACTAGGGATGGAATTCAGTGGTAGAGTGCTTTCCTCAAATGCATGGGATCTTGGGTTCCATCTCCTTGGGTACAGGACAAACACACGTGCACGCACTCAGGAACTGCTTGCCTCTAATCTTAAGTCTATCAAAGGAGGCAGAGGTGACCTTAAGGACCATTATGTGAACAGAAATATTGAACAATAATTGGTATTGTATGTCTTATTAGGCCATTTTCCAGGTAGGATCTGCAATAGTGAGAGAAACCAAGATGTGTCATCATTCTCAGGTCATGTGGAACTCCTCAGCTCACTACATCACCCAAAGTATCAAATAACAGTATTTATGCACTGATATTCATGCATTTATAGACTGTCTTTGAGAGACACAGAAGCCAAGTGAATCTGTGTGAGTAGCTGTGTAATACCTATCACTGGGTGTAAGGGCTATGATTGTGAAAGTGGTCTCAGAGGAAACCAGAAAAACTATACACTCTCTAAGGTCTGCAGTGTAAATATCTCCATGTAGCACTTTTACTATATGGTTTTGATTGTAAACACTCAAAAACAAGGTAAGCTATCACATTGGATAAAAACAGAGCTCTGGTTCCCTTCAGCAAATTTCCTTTCATGGTTGTTTGGTGTGGGATTTTCTTTTTTTCCCAGACTATATTCTGAACAAAATGGCAAGTAAGGGAACCATCACAAATGGGATCATATTTGGTTTACACTCTTGTGTCATGAAGATGTTAGCATCACATGAAGAGGGGATATAGTACATTAAGGGGCTGAGGATATGGTGACATTGGTAGAGAGCTCCCTAGCACACAGGAAGTCCTGGCTTGAAACCCAGCTTAGCACACAGGTGTAAGAAGCACTCATGTAGAGCAAGGTGGAGGTCGGAAGATCACAGTGTCAAGGTTATGATAATCTTTGGCAACATAGCCAGGCTGAGTTTTACTTGAGTCTCCTGATACCCCCTTGCCTAGGGGAACTTACAGGAATTCTCACAGCCCACAAGGGAACTCTTAAGAATCATTGTGAAAATAAACAGGAGGTGACCAGCTTCTAATTTACCACTGTTGTGTAGTGGCATCATTACAATAATGTACACTGACAGGTTCTACAACTTCAGCATCTTAAATATTAACACACAGAATTTGCTAGCCAATTTTTATAAAGAAAGTGACTGGAGGGAATATTAGCACAGACCTGAAATACCAGCACTTGGGAGGCTAAGGTAGGAGGATCTGGAGGCCTTGCTGGATTCCATACTGAGTTCCAGGCCAGCCCTGCTGTATATTGAGAACCTGCCAAAACAGAGAGACAGACATCCTGACAGGTAGGGATCCAGGCACACATAAATGAGGGAAGAAAGAAGGATAAAAGAAAGGCTGAAGTAAATTCAACTAATCTAAATTATACTACACCTATTAATTAAATGGAGTCTTCAGACACATTTCTGCTTTCAATGATGATATAGTCGTGTTTTTGCAGATATACAATGATGCCCCTGATTTCTTATGGATGTCTGTATTTCTCAAGTTGTTTGAAAACTTTAGGTGTAGTTAATAAATGTCAACACTAATAATTGGTTGGAAGACACTCCTGTTGTGTTAGATATAGTTACTTTCTGTTGTTGTGAAGACACCGTGACCAAGGAAGCTTATGGAAAACCTACTGGAGACCTAAGTTTCAGAGGAAAGTTAGAGTCTATGACCACCATGGTGGGTGCATGGCAGCTGGAAGGCAGGCATGGTGATGCAACGGATGCTGAGAGCTGATTGCTTTGCACAGAAATAAGAGGGAGACAGAGACAGAGAGACACAGAGAGAGAGAGAGAGA